GTTTTGTGTGATGATTTGAAATAAGATCGACAAAATTTGGCCAATGAAATAGCTTATTTTACAGTGTCCATTATGCTCCATAACGCACATAAATGTCACAGGATCTCGAACAAATTGACCCGTTGGGCGTCACACTGGTTTCCCTCATTATTCATTCTTTTTAGGAATACGCGTATTTTAGCTCCTTTCTCTTTATTACACTCAACTTTATTGCAAAGAGATAATGAACAATATGCAAGTAAATTCAGATAACACTCCTGCACTAAAATTCGGTCAGTTATTTAATTTTCTTTTAAAAAAATTAAAAAACCACATTATTAATTAAATACGTGTTGTTTTTTCCTTTAGAGACTAAACAAGGTGAAGAAGGTTTTTGCAAGTTTTTTCACGGTCTTCCAGAGGTAAAGAAATATAAATATATTTGTTATAAGTTATAAATTTTAAAACTAATCCTTGCATGTCTTCTAGAAACCTGCAAATACTATTCGTATATTTGAACGAAATTCTGGAGTAGGCTTAATTTTTTTATTTTTATCTTTATAATATTTATCAACCCATAACTAAATAAATAAATATTCCACTTGATAGGAATATTACAGTGTCCATGGTGAAGACACATTATATGTTGCTAAGAATGTTTTTAAAACATCAACTGGCATTAAGTACTTGGGTGGTATGAAATGAATTTAACTAATCAATCTAAATTAATATGAGTTTATTATTTTAATAATATCATTAAATTATTAAATATTTATATATAAATATTTGAAGGTGATGAAAAAAAAGGAATTCCAAGTTATACATTGTCTAAATTTGTTCTCGAGTCTTTTTTGCGTGATTGTTTGTTGAATAATCAAATGAAAATTGAATTATGGTCTAATGGAACAAAAAAAAATAATGAATGGCAAATTACAAAACAAGTATATTACTTTATAAATAGTATAATATTGACATTTACATTATATTTATAATGTTTTTTTTATTAGGCATCGCCAGGAAATATTCAAGAACTTGAAGATTTATTATTTTCAAATACCGAAGTTTCTTCTTCTCCTGTAATACTTTGTGCTAGACTAATTATTAAAGATAACCAAAAAATTGTTGGATTAGCTTATGCTGATTCAACACGTAGAGAATTAGGTGTATCTGAATTTGTTGATGATGAATTATTTTCAAACTTTGAGGTAAATGAATATTTATTTATTAATAAAATAAAATAAAAATAAAAAATAAATATTAAAATTTTATTTTTTTTTAGACTGTTTTAATTCAACTAGGAGTGAAAGAATGTATCGTTACTACAGATGATAAAGACCATGAAATTTTAAAAATAAAAGGTGTACTCAATAAATGTAATGTAATTATTACTGAATGTAAAAAATGTAAATATTTTTACCATTATCATCATCATCATTATCATCGTCATTTAATAACAGTAACATTAATTTATTTAAAATTACTAATTAATAAATATTTATTATTAGCCGATTTCTCTACCAAAAACATAGAACAAGATTTGAATCGCTTATTGGGAAAAGCAATTTCTGTAACTTCTTTACGTAAGTTTTTATCCTTAATTATTAATGTTTTTTATATTATGTTGCTTTATATTAAAATTTACCATTTTAATTAATAAGCCGAATTCAAATTGGAGAATGCAATGTCTGCTTGTGCTTGTATTATAAATTATTTATCGGTAAAAAACAAAACAATCAATTACTTTTTTTATAATCAACATGTTACTCAATCATCTTCCTCTTCTCCAATTTAAATAGCTTTTGTCAGATCAAAGTAATTTTGGGAATTATTCTCTTCGACTTCACGATATATCTAAATTTATGAGATTAGATGCTTCTGCAATCAGTGCTTTGAACTTATTCTCTACCAAACAAGATGGTATAGTATTAATATAATAACAAACAATTTTGTTGCTTTTAATAACCTATCTTCAAAATAATTACTATTTTTATTTTTGCTGTTAAGGCACAAATGCAATCTCTAGTTTATATGGACTTTTAAATAAATGTGTGACTTCACAAGGTTCAAGATTATTGTGTAGATGGTTGAAACAACCATTAATGAATAAGAACGAGATTGGTAAATCATTCTTCTTCATGCATGTTTACATGTTTAGGTTTACAGATAAAATATCTTAAGATCCTTTGATATTCATTATTATTCTATAGAACAAAGACACGATTTGGTTGAGATTTTTGTAACAAATATAGAAACTCTGGAAGATTTAAAGGTATTAAGATATTTTTATTATTAAAACAATTGATTCTTTTGTATATATATTTATTTTATTTTTATATGCATACATTTGTAAAAAATATAGAAAAATATGTTGAAGAACACTCCCGATCTTCATCGATTAACAAAAAGATTTCGTAAACAAAACTCTAATTTACAAGTAATCAATCAATCAATTTATTATAAATCTACGCTAATAATAATGTTTTTCTAAAGTCTATCTAATTTTAAATTTTAAATATATGTTATATGACCATAGGATGTATTATGTGTTTATAATGTTGTTCAAAAATTGCCAGAATTGATTACAGCTTTAGAATCACTTTACCTAACAGATGACAAACTCAAAAATCTTGCACGAGAAACATATATTATGAAGTTTAAGGTAAAATTAGTAAAAGTATAAGCATATGTATTTACATAAATATTTATTTATGATATAACTTTTTGATTTTCATAGAAATTCGAATCTCAACTTGTAAATTATAAAACAATGGTTGAAGAAGCTATTGATTTGGAAGCTGCTGAAGAGCATAAATATAAGATTAGAGAAGATCATGATGAAGGTTTGAAGGGTAAATAAATTATACCTTGTTATTTTATAATATCATATATATAAATATATACATCAATTTTATTTATTATATTTATTTTTTTATTAGCTATTAAAATGAAAATGAATAAAATCAAAGAAAGAATAAAATCATGTCATAATGAGGCTAGTGACGATCTTAATTTCAATGATAAAAATAAACTTTATCTTGAAACGCATAAATCATTTGGATATTGTTTCAGGATTTCAAGAAAGGTAAACAAATAAATTTCATTGATTAATTAATTAACTGTACGATTATTTGTTATATTTATTCTTTCTAATTGATTTGTATTTAGGATGCTCCTTGTATTAATAGAAATAAAAAGTATATAGAACTTTCCACACAAAGAAATGGTGTCTATTTTACAACTACTGAAATGAAAGATTTGAATGAAAAATATGAAGAATTAGATCTTCAATATGCAGAAGAACAAAGTTCTTTGGAAAAGGAGGTTTTACTTGTTGCAGGTAACACTTGCACGTTTATATATCATTTGTTTTTAAACAGTAATAATTGTAAATTTGCACATTTAAATGTTTATGTTTATATAGCAACTTATTGTTCTGTATTGGAAAAGATGAATGAATTAATAGCACATATTGATGTTATCGTTAGGTTTGTAATATTTATTGAGGTTGATGATATAATAAATTTGAAAAACAAAATTGTAAATATTTATATTATTGTTATTAATTATAATATATTTAAAAGTTTTTCAAGTGTGTCAATTAATGCCCCTATGCCATATGTTCGGCCAAAAATGTTAAATAAAGGTAATACTCTTATCATTATCATTATCATTATCATTATCATTATTATCATTGCAATTTTTTAATTATTGATAAAAAAAAATTTTTTTTTGTATATTTGTTTTCTAGGTGAAAAAGAATTTATCTTAAAAAATGCAAGGCATCCATGTATTGAAGTCCAAGATAATGGTTCATTCATTCCAAATGATGTAAATTTAATTAGAGGTAAGAGATTAACTAGTAAATATCTTAGTTGTGATTTGGTTATTCTATAATAATTATATTATAATCATATTTTTTGTTTAAGGAACGCGTGAATTTCAAATAGTTACTGGACCAAACATGGGTGGAAAATCAACTTATATTAGACAAGTAAGTTATATAACATCAAACAGTTATTCAAATAATATTATCAATGAATTGATATATCGTATCATAAATATTTAATTTATTATGGAATAGATTGGTGTTATTGCTTTGATGGCACAAGCTGGTTGCTTTGTTCCATGCAGTGAAGCAAGTATTTGTATATTTGATTGTATACTTGCAAGGGTTGGTGCTGGAGATAGTTATCTTCAAGGTGTTTCTACATTTATGGCGGAAATGTTGGAAACTACAAGTATCTTAAGGGTATTATTATCTAAATTACCAGTGATTTTTTTTATTGTCAATGTTGTTTTATTAAAATCATTTAATATATAATTTTCTATTTTTGATTTTTAATTAATTAGACTGCAACTGAAAATTCTTTAATTATTATTGATGAACTTGGTCGGGGTACCAGTACTTATGATGGATTTGGGTTAGCTTGGGCTATTTCTGAGTAAGTGAATTATCTAAATTATCTGATTACAAATCACTCAATCCATGCTTTATTTCATTTATTCATTTTTGATAATTATAGATATATTGCAACAAATATACGATGTTTTTGTATGTTTGCCACACATTTTCACGAATTAACAGTTCTTAGCGATCAATTGCCAAATGTGTGTAATTTACATGTAACAGTTCATACTGGCAGGAATTCTGATGGTGAAAGTGAAATAACTTTGTTGTACAAGGTTATTGAAGGTAAGAAAAAACTTTAACAAGAAATGAAAGCGAAGAAGATATTAATTTATATTTTATAATATAGGTGTTTGTGATGAAAGTTTTGGTATTCATGTGGCAGAACTAGCCAATTTTCCTGAAACAGTTCTCAGAGTAAGTTAACTTTATTTAATATACATACATAATTTTGACAATCTCATCATTATTTTTTAATAATTATTTAGCTTGCAAGAAAAAAGATAAATATATTAGAAGATTCTACAAAAAGTAAGCTATATTGATGGTTTTTTTTTTAAAAACATAATAAGTTAATATTAAAATATATATTTTAAAAAAGATAAAGATGAAATGGACATAGATCAAACAAACACATCTAAACAAGATATTGAGGTATAAAGATTGGTTTTATTATTATTTAATTATTAAAAAAAAATTATTTATCTTATTTTTAATTTTTTTAGGAGGGAGGTATGATCATAAAAGAGTTTTTTAAAGAGGTTTTAGAAAAAACCGAAGACCTATCTGACTACAACTCAATTTTAAGTTGTACACGGTCAATTTTTGAACAATTTAAAGATAGAATTGAAAGCAATTCTTGGTGTAATTCATTGATTTCAGAATTGTGATAATTGTAATAATGTAAATAAAATAACAATAAATAAATAATAGTAATTGCATATTTTTAAATATGCACTAATGCCAATGATACTGTCATGGTCAACGAATCTAATAACCACGTCCAAGAAAGCCTTCTTGCGGGTGATTTCTACACCCGCGGTTCATCTAATAGAGGTGTGGCATATTTAAGGTTCTATAATACAGAATTGTCATCCTCATCAGCTCAATAAATAGTTTTTGTCACCAAAAACATAACCACTTTGTAGTTTTCAATTAAAAAATGTTGCACTAACTTTAATATTTAATTTATTAGAACAAATAGTATATAAAAACAACGTAAAAGCAGTTGGTAAGAAGGAAGAGAGTGAAAATAAAGAAGATAAGAACAAGATGAAATCGAGATGGAAACGAATACGAAATCAAGGTTGGAATTTAAGTGAGAAATGAAACATTCTACAAAATCTTGACTAATAAATTATTTTTATTTTCTGGCAACTTACATGAACCCAAATATATATAAATCAATAATAATGATAAATATATATTCATAAATGCATTAGTATTGTGACTGGGCTTCGGAACAAAACTTTGAAGAGAAGTGACTGTTTTCGGGTTCTGTTCGAGAGGAATTACGGGAGATTAAAAATCGAATTAGGAGGCTCACGAACCAACCCTTGACAATTGGAGTTAGCTTTTTAGCTCACTTAGCCTTCTATCATACAAAAAGAAATAATAATATATTTACTGGCAGAAAAAAGTAATCACCAGAAATGGTTAAATCTTTAAAGTGTTATAATAAAGTATTACAAACAAATACAATGGATATAATACTACAAAGGTAACAGCCGGTACCCTTAATATAAAATATGTTTAATATTAATATTTTATGTATAAAAATTTAAAAGATTAATGTCACGTTCATAGTGTGACTTAAAATAATGATATAAATTCAACTGTATTATTTTCATCTAGTTACTTTCATCACTGCCTTCATTAAAAGCTCATCCTCCAGTTTGTTGATGAACTGATGGGAGAGTTTAATTCACAATTAATTTCTTCTCTTCATAGTCTCCTTGATCTTCATCACTTTCATTACTTCCAACTGGCTAATTGTTCTTTATTACTCCCTAGAAACTTCTCCCTTAATTTGCGACTATTAACATTTTGATATAATTGTACTTTGTCATCAATGATTCTATCGAATAAAACGAATCATATGACTGATAGTGATAGTGATAGTGATAGTAATAGTGATAGTAATAGTGATAGTGATAGTAATAGTAATAGTATATGCACTATCCAATCCAATCAAAAAAAAAAATTCTTTATCAGTTCTATTTTTCCTTTGTTGTCCTTGTAGTGGTAATAATAATAGTAATTGACGTTTTTCTTTAGCCAATTAATAATAATTGTTGTAGTAATTGTTTTTCCCCCTTTGTAATGATAATAATAATAGTAATTTATTAGTAAATGGTCATGGTAGAGTTTCTATTCGAATTCATTATGAATTTGAATATTCTAATTACATTGAATGTTTATTCGAATAAAACGAATAAAACGAATAATTCGAATAAGAATTTGTATTACAAACAGAAACTCTAGCTCAACTCAATAATAATAAAGGTTTTCAAACGTTTTTGCATTTCGTTTTAATTCTCCAAAGCTCGTTTCAACGAATCATATAAGAATTCGTTGAAACGTGGTTAGTAACTTTGTATAACGAATTTTAAATGCAATTTTCTTGTGTCCCATAGATTCGTTAAAACGAGGTTTAATTAACTGTATGCATATATTTCAAAACCTAAAAGGCATTTTTTAATAGAAATACAAATATTGTTAAAACATAGAATCTTGAATGGTTTTCATTTTTAAAGTTTTGGAATTTTTTAGTCTGTCATAAAATTATTAATATAGCCTACTATTGTTTTTAATTATTTTCGATGGTCTGCAAAATCGTAATAAATTTCGGCTGGCTCGAGCCAATGCTTTTTTATGTTCGAGACAAGTACAAACTCGGCTCGTTCAAGGCTTTGGCTAGAACAATGAGATATTGGATTTCACTTCAAGTCACTCAGTTAGTGGACAAGGCAATCATAAAAAAAAATTATCAAATTAATTGATGATGAGGATGTTGCTGAAAAAGTTATGAATGGCACCATTAATTCGTGGTTCGCTTATAAACGAAATATTTATCTATTTCTATATCTCTCGAATAAAAAGACAGCTAGTAATAATAATAATGATAATAATAATAATAATAATAGTAATAATAGTAATAATAGTAATAATAATAATAATAATAAATAATAATAATAATAGTAATAATAATAATAATAATAATAATAATAGAAATTGTAATTTAAAATTTGTAATAGGCAATAGGCAATATACTCGGAATCCCCAGCTACTCAATATAGAAAAATTTGGCTTCTACACAAAATTGCATGTGACTTTCCTTATAATGAAAGAAGATAATGTGCAGTTAGTATTAGCTTTTATTATTATTTCCATTATGCCGATCTCCCGGATTTTTGTTAATGTTAATGTTAATTATTTATTAAATTTCTCACCATAAAAGTAACGTTAACCCCACACTATAAACGTAGATCACTTGTTACGGGTCGATAATTAAACTTTAGTTGTATTCTTTTTAAAAAAAAAACCAATTCTATTAAAGGGCTGGCTGCCTGTATGTGATATTTAAGACTTTACTATAGAGGGAGAGGGGAGTGCTCCGATCCAAATCATGAAAGATCGACACGGAATAATTTATTACCTATATATTTATTACAACTTGGCAAGAAATTGGTTGACAGAAGAGAAAGATGATAGGATTCCTTTAACTAGAAATCAGAATGGGAAACTAGAAATAGAGACCCCTTCTAGATAAAACTTTGAGCACAAATGAATCATTACGACTTGTATCAATGTGTCTTTAATGCTGAGCATTATCCAAATACCGCTCAAGTTTTCCTCATTTTGATTTTTTTTTTCTTATTATTAGGATCGTAATAATTATATTATATAATAAAATTGTTATAAGAAGAATAAAATATCCCTTGAATAAATAATTATTTTTCCTAATCATCTATAAATTTCATACGATGATGGATAACGACATATTTCTATAGATTGATTTATTGAGTATTGTATAGAATTGAAATGATAGTGATATTTGGAATTTGAATTGGAATGAAAGAAAACAGTTTGTGAACGTAAAATTAAAGTGAAATCACAGAAAGTCAAAGTCACGTATTTACCACGGATACCACAAAGAAAAATCATGATTTTCTACATCCTCAATATGACTTGGTGATGTATTAGGATATAATTTTCAACAACATCGTCAGGATATTATATATTACGATTTCCATGAAAAGACCATATGTCATTGAATATAGATAAAGGGAAAGTGTAGAAGGAATATATGACTAAAATTGATAATGAAACTTTGAAACCGATTCCTCCAAACCTTGGTCCTAATGAGAAGGAATTGGTTTTACTTATTTATGAGGAATGTATCCTTAACTCTAATGATTGGAAGAGAAAAGTCTGTGCAAAAGATAGTAAGCCACTTGTGTGTTTTTTACCCAAGTTTCACTGTGATTTAAATTACATGGGAAGTTATTGATTGGGGCTGTGCTAAAAGATACACAGAAAAAACTGCGATTATGCTTGGAGTAGTGCTAAACACTGTTACCGAAGCCCTAGATCGCAAGGAAAACATGAAAAAATATGGGAATGAATTGAAGGGAAAGTCAGTTAGTTGTGAGGAAGCATCCTGAATATGTTATTCTGATATAAAAGATTTTATTTGTTTATATTTTTTCAATTGATGGTTATCATTCATTGTCACAAATTTTGGACATATGACCGATTTATGTAATCTAGCTAGATCTGATTATGATTGTGACATAACTGTAGCTTTGATAACAATTCAACAGAATTTGTTGTATTCGGAAGTTATCAATGTCGATTAATTGTGCAAGCACATAAAATTGAAATTTTTTTTTATTTATGTGTCATGATCAGTGAAATTCAATCTGCGGAATCGATGGACTAACCAAATTTGTATAACAGTTGAATTTTTTTTTATACATAATTTTTGATTTGCATACATGCTTGCAATAGAAAGGTATCTGGAACATACAGTTACTGCTATTGGGATGGGATTTTGTTGAACTAAATTTTTTGGGCAAATAAAATATGAAAAAAATAAATTGTCAACAAATGAAATATGTGCAGCATAAAAATAGTGGATTATTCATATTATTGGGTAGAAAACATATAAAAATGCAATTAAAATTTCTCTTTTTTAAAAAATATGATCTTCGTTATAATAATATTGCTGGTAAATTACTTGTATAACTTTCTAGTAATAGTAATTGAATCTCTTAGAAATGGCCCGGGAACTGGCGCTGATAACTGAGACAATATCTGGCATTTCATAGGTGGATTAAAAGAAAAAAATAAAGGGAAACAAAGGAGGTTTGTGAAATAATGTTACATTGATAAAATAAAAAGAAACAATTATAATGTACATAATAATAAAGGATTAATTGATAGATTAGATATTTAGATAAACAAATAAGCAGATATTTATGCAGAATACGTAATAATGACTTATTATTTGATATATAGAGACGGTACCTGCCTGTTTGTATGCGTGTGTATGTGTCTTAAAACCTGTAGTAAATTAAAAATGATCGAAAAAAAATATTTTGTTGAAAATTTAGAATTTGAAAGTCAATCGATTATTGGTATTTTGTCATTTTGCATATTTGTTTGTTGATTTGTTTTTTATTTAAAAACTCGCGTGTATTTTGGTTTATATAATAATTTAGAGAATTAAATTTCAAAATTATTTTCCTAAAAATTGTAAATTCTTCTCTTATGCAGGAAGAAAATGAAACATGTAAAATAGAATTTTTTTATGTTCATTCATTATTATTGCCTACAATGTGGCCACAATTATGTAATATTGAGCTTTAATTGGTGACAAAACTAGTTTAACTACGTTTTCGGAAATTTGTTCTTTTTTATTATATTTTAATTCAAAAAATAAAATAAAATATAAAATATACATTATTGGTCACGAGAATAAATTTTAATCTTATATACATTTTTTATGTTAGACAAAAGAATATTATTTATTGTATATCAATATAATTAAAAAAAAAAAGTGCATCATTGTACCTGCGAGTATTTTTTATCCAAATATATGTACTGGCACAGAAGAACGACTTAATTGGCGGAAGAAAATTTGGAACGGGACCATTTGAACGGGGCTTTGTCTGACCGTCTGTATATGTTAATGCATATAGGGAAAAGATTTTTGTGTAAGCAAAAGCAAAATTAATTCTGTCCGATATGTAACTCCCAATCTTTAATTTCAAAAGCAGGATACCCAACCAAATATGTATCACAATAATTTTATTGTCTATCATCCAACATCAGTCACAATTTCACATGGAACACAATTTCCAAGAAATTTCCGGCAAAAAATTAAAAAAAGATAAAGATGATAACCCTATCATTTCCTTAATAAATTGGGGTTTATCATTGACGTAGATTTATCTAAAATTTTATTTTACATTTTTGAATTTAATTTTCCTAAAAATTAGATAAATGATGTCATTTATATGGAATTTTTTGGTAAACTATGTTTTTTAAATCTTAATTAAATAGTGCACAAAATCACATACACTAATACACAAATACAAAACAAAAAAACAAAAATCATCATTTGTGTAAAAAAAAACAAATAATCTAAGCACAACAATCAGATTAACCATAACAATCAACAAAAAAAATTATTCTAATTAAAAAATATTAATAATTAGTTAATAAATTGGTTAACCAACCATTCCCATTCAAGTAATCATCATCATAATAATATTTTGTTTCATATTCTTACTCTATTGCCGCCCGCTTCGCTCATCCTTTCTTCTTATTCCTAGGTAATCTATTACTAGCCAATCAATTACCCCTAGCTATTATATTTACTTTGCCTATTTAGTAATCATTCTTATCGTCAGCATCATCACCGTTAATCAACCCTCCCATTGAAATTAGCCATAGACTAAAATTGTTATTGTTTGTTTTTTCACTATCCCATTTTTTTGATCTGCAAAATCTTTATCTTGGCGAGGAGGTGTGACAATTTTTTGACAAAAACTGTGTAATATAACATATGAAGAAATTACTTCGTTTTTTAGATTTTTTGTTTCATTTTTTAATATAAATGATGTCACCGGTGTTAGGTTTTTTGTGAAAATTTGGTACACTGGACTGGAATCAATTATGCAAATTTGCAAATGGTTCATAAAAAATAAATTAATTGAAAACCGTGTTGTGTGTCAGTGCAATTAAATTAAAATATTTCAGAGTTGCACGTGGATAATAGTTAATATTGTATTATTATAATTATTATAATATATTTTTGAAGCTTGGTTCAAACATTTTTATAGACATTTTTAATAAAAAGTTTTTTATATTTTAAAGATCTACATTTTACATTGTTGTTGGTGCTACATGGAATAGTTAAAAATTTGAAAAAATTTAAATATATTAACAATTATATGTATATTTACGTATTGTAAAAATACATAAATAACAGAGGAAATATATAAAGGACGATTTATTCGATTTATTTAAAAATACGAATAATCGTTTTTTGAAAAAATCATTTTGCCACGAAAAAATTTATTTTATTTTTCATAAAAAAATCATCTTGATAAATCTACCTTCCTCTTTTCTCTCCTTTCCTCTTTATAAATTAAAAAAAAATAAATTTTATTATTTTTATTATTTTGTGTATATAATATATATATATATATATACATACTTTATTAATAATTGTCAAAGAAATTACTGTCAAAAATAAAAAGGTTAAAGATGACTCGTTTAACTTATTTTTTTGATAATAATATAACAACGGATGTGATGAGTACAGACACAATCACAATGTCTAATAATAATAATAATACTAATGATAATAATAATCAACAACATTCTTTAGATTCCTTAGACGTATGAAAATTTTTATTTCTTTTTTATTGTTAATCAACCATAATGATTGATTTAATTAATGATAATAATTGTTATTATAATAGTGTCAACAACATCTTCATCAAGAAGGATTGATTTTACAAAATGCTTCTGATTTACATTATCGCCAATTTGTAAGCTTCCATTTAATAATATTATGATGATAAATGTAAAAATAACTAATAATAATAATTTATAAATCGTGATTATTATATTTAAATTTCGATGATGATTGAAAATTTCATTAAAAAAATTTTTTTTTTCTACAGAGTCCGTTGTTTCAATGTAATGATATGGTAAGATTACAAAATGCTTGATTTTTTAGTGGTAGTGGTAGTTGGAATTTTTTATTTCATTTCCTACTCATTCATTCATTTACTAATTAATATAATAATCATTCGATTTATTTAGTTATTCCCAGAGAATCCAAATTCTTTTGATGATTATTCCCTTCAAATAAAACTAAATAATTATCCTGCCACACAACCTCTTCATTTTAATATGGTATGCATAATAATAAAAATTTATCAAATAATCTGGTGTTTTATCTTTTTACTTATTCTCGCATATTTTTTTCTCAAATGAAAAAAAAGGATGTTAATCGAAATCAAGATAATATGCAGGTAGAATTTCTATTCCATTTTTTTATACAAATCATATTTAATTACTTCCTCTTCTTTTCCTTTTTTGAATTTTGTGAATGCTTACATAAAATTTATTATTATTTTTTTTTTTTCAGTCACAAATAATCAACAACAACAATAATAATGATGACGATGATGACGACGACGACGAAATTGATGAGGAAGTTGAATCACCAACATCCCCATCATATCTTCAACAACATTTAGCGCTCGCTCAATTATTGGTCACCACCACCGATATTCCCAAAGAAATTTCAATCCCTGTCACACGAAACCAACAAATGAATGGGATTATTGATAAGGTAAATTAAATATTATAATATTATTTCCATGTGATACACAAACAATGACAAATATTAAAATAATAATTGTGTAAATAGCAGCAGCAACAACAACAACAACAGCAACAACAACAGCAACAACAACAACAACAACAACATGCTTATTCGTCCATAACGACAACAAATTTGCCTAGTTTGCTAAATCAGAAGCCACCAGTTTATACTAAATGGACTGACAAGGAGGATGAACTGCTCAAGGAAGCTGTTCAAATTTATGGACCTCACAAATGGTCACTTATTGCAACACATGTACCTAACAGAACACCTATGCAATGTTCAGCTAGATGGGTTGGTGCGTTGAATCCGTCGATTTTGAAGGGTCGTTGGACGACTCAAGAAGATAATGCATTGCGAGATGCTGTGAATCAATATATGATGAATTCTATTGATTCACAAGGTAATCCACAACCAATCCCATGGAACAAAGTTTCTAAATGTATTCCTGCAAGAACTGGTGCTCAATGTCAAGCTCGGTGGACTGAGGCATTAGATCCTCGAATTAAGAAGGGCAAATGGTCACCTGAAGAAGATGAAATACTTAAAGAAGGCGTTAGATTATATGGTCGTTGCTGGATTCGTATTGCTGAAATGATAACTGGAAGAACTCAAGTATGTACGGCATTTAAATTTGGGGGTTTTTTTTTGCGAGAAAATTTTGCTTTGAAGTATATAAATAATAAATAATTCGGTCAAAAAAAAAAAAAACCAAAAATTTTTTTTTAATAGAGACAATGTCGTACGCGCTGGCTTCAAGTTAAAAACAAACAGTTCAAAAAAAAAAATAACGACAGCAATAACAATAAAAACAATAGTGGCTCCAACGGAATAGTCAAAACTAGTAATAATAATAAGCCAGATAATAATAATAAAAACAACGATAATAACAATCAAAAAGTGATGTTAACACCACCAAGTACTACACCTTCCACGCCTGCACAATCTATTAAAAATGTTGTGACGTCATTACCTTCAAAACCATCGTCTACCTCATCATCTTTATCATCGTCTCCAGTCTTTTCTTCACCATCATCATCCTTACCCTCGCCCACATCAAACATTCAAGGAGTCATTATGCGATCTTCACCTACTACAAATAATGGTGGTAATATTTCAGGTCATCAACAATTAATGATGATCAACGCAGCCTCATCTCCTGAGGAACGATTCTATAATAATAATTTATTTTACCATCAACTCTATCAATATAATAACAATCAAATTTCTTTTTGTTAACATTGACTTATTTAAAAAAAAACTTTTTTTTTTCGTTTATCATTTCATTTATTTTTTTTAATCTTTTTTTTTTATTTTCTATATTATAAATATATGATTAAGTAGGAACTATGGTAAATTGAGAAAAAAATTTTTATACAAAAAAAACAAATTAAAAAATTTAAGAAGACATTTTAAGATTATTTAAGAAAAAACCTTAAGATTATTAAATTATATAAATATATAAATATATAAATATACATACAAAATATTTCCCCATTATTTATTATTCTTTATTCTTTGTATTTATTCTTTATTATTAACCTCCTTTTATAATTTTTATTTTCAAACGTGTATAAATCTTGGCAGTAGTGCGAAACTTAAGATTATTTAATGACGACTAGAATGAATGAATGAATAAATATTTTTTTAGGAAATTTTGATTGGATTGATTCCATCAGAAAATTTAACATATTCAAAAAAGGCAATGATATCTTTATTATAAGTAATAATACATTCGTTAAAAGTTTTGTTGTAGTATGTGTAAGACCCGTTATACAGTAGTGCAGTGCAGGTTATCTATAACCAATTAATTGCTTATATATTAAGTAACAAACAAATAGCTCATCTTCAAAATATTAAAACAAAAAATCACCAACAAGTTTTATTTGTTCATGACTCAAGCTTCTTATCGACTAATTTTTTCTTAAACTGAACAATGGCGTTTTTGGAAATTTCAAATTTCAAAAACCTGGGACCAAATAAAATAATGTGTAACAAGCAAAATTTTTTTCGTGGAATATATATATATATTTTTTTTTTGCATGAATTGACAGCTGAATTGAATGAATGATAGTTTATTTTTAAAATCCAACATATGGAGTCACATAATATTTTAACCGATCGTGATGATATTAAAGTATTGTATTGAAATCGGCCAATCAAACATGGACGTGTTTGTGCGCGAAATTCCTTTTGATTGGTCGATCGTCACATTTACTGAATGAAAATCCGTCTATGTGAGATTTAGTAGTAGTAGAGTGAGTGAGGAAAGCTCGCTTCATGTCTACTCGTTACGAAAAGTTCACTCGAAAAAAGGCAATGATTTGCATATTTTACTAAATTAGCAACGATTATCGTTCAATGTTGTCGTTAACATATTTCTTTCCTATCGTCAGGTTAGATCGAAAAAAAAAATATAACATATATGTTTAATTTTTAATTTTTGCATTATAAAAGATCGAGATTAAACTTAAAAAGGCAACATCCATCTACGCGTAGTCTTGACATTTTTATCCATGAATGAAATAAAGACATATTTCACATTTCAATTGTCAAATGAATTAAAAATTCATTTTGAACGTGTAATTTAATTAAAAACTATTGGTCGATTATAATTAAAAATCATGCGATTTTTCAGAAAAATATTAATTAACTAATTTTAATGATTAAAAAAGGTTATAAATAAATCAACTTGTTTTTTTTTTTTTGAACTTATTATCTTTTCGCCTCCCTTTTAAATATCACTCTAACAATCATTTATTATTGTTATTATTTAATTTTTATATTTTTTAAAAAACAAACGATAAACGATTATAAAATGTTAAGTTACGGTTATTCAATAGGCAAGTTATTTTATTTATTTGTTTGTTTGTTGATCCTATATTTCATATCTTTTACCACATGCACACATATTGACACATTGTACCGCTAAATAAATAGGAGATTTATCACCATCGTCATTAGTGATTTCTCATGAATTGAGTAAAATTATTTTATCACCTTTAAAGCCAAGATTCGTAGTAATCGGGACTTTAAGTGAAATAATGGAATGGATGAGATCAAACGGCAATCTTACATGTGAATACGATGACGACAGTGGCGATAAAGATAACAATAAAGATTATTATGATAACATCATTAAAGACAATAATAAAAGTAATGTGACTCATGGTCATAATAAGGACTTGAAGAAAAAAAAATCAGCTACATTCACACATACAAGCACTCCCAGAATAATTTTATTTGAATTATACACTTCCTCACAACAACAACAGCAGCAGCAGCAGCAGGAAGAACGTCATCAACATCACACATCATTTAAAAGTTTATTTTCATTAAATAAAGTCGATAAATCTTCAAATTCTTCTTCTCCTCCTACATCTACAACAACAATCTTTCATTTGGTGATAAAACCTGAACAGCTCTATCAGCTTCATAATGGAAAATATTACACTGTTAGTAAAGAAAGTGACAAGTATGAAGTTGAAGAAGGCTACACGGTGATTAAACGTAGTAGATGTCAGAATGGTATGACATTAAGCCATGTGTTACGTAAATGGACAACAAATTCAGATAATGACAAAAATCATCATCATTCAAAAAAGTCTGCTAATGTTAAGCTTGGTTCTGATTTCGATTATTAATTCGATTCAGTTAATTGAAAATGATGAAGTAAGGTGGTAAGATTTATAGCTTTACCTTTATAAGTTTAATATATATATATATATATATATATTTATTGTCAATTTATTGTGTCTATTTTTTGTATTTATTATGTGATTTAATTAAGACGTATAAAAAAAACAAATTTAAAGAAATGTTATTTTTAAATAATATAACTGTCAATGTTAATAATAATAAAGTATTTTTTAAATATGAGCTTCTTATTGAATAGATAAATTTATTCCTTGTGATTGAACATCATCATCTTTTTCAACAATAACATCTCCATATCCAACGTCATAATCCGTTGTTTCACCTCCGTAATAATCTCTTAGATATTCATCGGGATATTTTACTATTTGCTGTTGCTCGGTATATTTCGTTATTTCATAACGGTTTTCTGCTTTTGTTTCTTCACAAGGTTGTTGATTATTTTCTTCGCATTGGTGATGATCACCATCCAATTCTTTCTCGTCATCCTCCTCAAGAGATGTGATAGATTCTGGTATTTGGATTTCCGGTGTAGGTCCAATTTGTTGTTCATCAGGATGTTTTCCTTCCACTATATCATCGCCTTCCACCTTTTTTCTTTCTTCTTCTTCTTCGGGTACTTCTAATACAAGTGGTGTAGGTGTAGCTTCAGCTGGTACTTCATCAGAATACTCTTCTTCCTCCTGCTTTTCCTCGACCGTTTCTTTTTCTTCACATAAGATACCTTTGTCTTTTTCTTCTTCTTCAATTACAACAACAACTATTGGTTTATGAATGATAGTTTCTACAGTTTCTACAGTTGGTAATGGCGATAGCGGTGGTGTTGGTGATGGTTTATAATAATCATAATCATGATGACCTTCTTGTTCTTCTTCTTCTTCTTCAATTTGTTCTGTGTCAGTAGGAGTGGATGTGATTGTGGCAGTTCTGGTTTTAGTTGTAGTTTTAGTTGTAGCTGTAGTTGTAGTTACGGATGATTGAATTGTGGAGGTGATAGTAACTGTAGATGGTAGTTGTACTGATGCTGGTTGTGATGTTGGTAATATACCAAATGGCATAATAGGTCTTCTACACCCTGTACACGCTTTACAACAACCATGATCAAAGCCATTATTTATTAGATATGGTAGTATTGGCTCTTGTAAAGTAATGTTTATTAATAAAAATAATAATATTGGTATTGATTTAACCATCATCCTACTACTACTTCTCTTTATTCTTCTGCTACTACCGTGTGTAAGAGTGGGAGTGGAGAAAAAGACGAATACTTATATATATTATTTATAAAATACAAATATAAATATGAAATTTTAATTTAACAATCAATCAATCATGAAATTAGGTTTAATCATTCTATCATTTATTTTTATTAAAAAAATAATTATCGTAAATTATTGACTGATCCGGAAAATTTTTTTAAAATGAATGATTCATTACCATCATTACCACCACCTTAGTGAAACTTTTGACTTTAATCATAATATTAACTAAAAGTAGTTTCTCGTCGGGGGCCATGTTGACGATTGACGAAAGTAAAAATCCCAACAAAAGTAAAAAGGTTAAAAACAAAATATTTGACGTAAGATAAGTCTTGACATTATTAGTAAAAAACAAAATAATTGATTTTTATTTTTATAGTTGTGCATACGCAGCATATTGCACGAAAACAGTGATCATTTTATGCGCAATAGATAGAAATCAGAACAAAAAATTAAATAAACAAATACTAAAAGTTTTATCCATTGATGAAGATCCAAGTTCTAAAAAAATAAAAGATCAGGAAATTAACTTCATCAATTGATTTTTCTGGCAAAGCTTATATTCCAATGCAAGCTCAGCAAATGTAAAATTTTATGATGAATCAACTATAGTTGTTTGTTTTTGGAGAAAAAGTGATTATGGTAATAATACGGATTCTCAATATTCTTTATGTGAATGAACATAAACAACTATATATTAATATGCTATTTAATTTAAAGAGTTCAAATAATTACAGATAATTTTGGCAACTATTAAGGTTAATTATGGCAACTATGAAAAACTAATCATGGCGTTACAGATATATGGCAATTATCATTTATTAAGACAATTGAGCAAGTAAATTAACAATACAAACTCGCTCATTATAATGGGATTTTTTTCAATAATAAATAAAATTTTTTGTTGTAACGAATTTATAATAAGTCTTATAGTATGATGGACATTTTAAAAACTTACTATTACTATAAAAAGTAAGTGCTAGGAAGGGTTCTGGAACGGTTCTTCATTTCACCCTAAGAGGTGACAATTATTAGCTGAAAGCTTCATAAAACATGTGTATTTTTTTTTAATTATTATTAAAAGTAACAATTTACTTACACACAGCTTCTCTTGCAATTCAGCATAGGTAAATTATTTGCAATTATTGACAGCATACAAATACGACCATCTTGTCCCTTTTATTTTCATTTATTGTTTCTCCAAAAAATTCCCAAAAGAATTTTTTATACAGAAACCATTAAGAATACAACTGAGCAAGTGTTTGTTGATCTTGTAATATATTTAGTGAACAACTCCAAAATTGATACTATATTTTTTTTTCAATTTATTAATTTTAAATAAAAAAATTTATCTTCATCAAATTACCTTAGATTCATCATCTTCAAATGGAGTCACATTATGGCAACCAGCTTGCTTTAAGCATTGTTCTTCATGCTCCAAGTTTACATTCTTCGGAAATATATCCTGATGGGTAAAGTTTTTCTAAAGAATTAAATTAAAGAATAAATATATTTTCGGTGACAAATTTTAGACGTGATAAATACTGATCGACAAAAAAAAAGCAAGCAAACTTCACGATTATATGGGGTCTGGACAATAGAAACGGACCATGTTGTGAAAATGATGTTTTGAGAAAATTTAAAAAAAAGATCTGCATTTCAAATAATTTACTATTGTTTTTAAAACTTTAATGGAGTGTATCTCAAAGTTTTATTAAGCAAAGTGGGTATGGTTTCTAATCCAAAAATGTTCTACATGAGGAATTACATATAATAGTGATACTAACTCAAAATTGCTTTTTTCACAACATGGTCCGTTTCTATTGTCCACACCCCATATGATTGGCAACAAATTTTTATTACAGGAATAAATGAATAAATACATGTGGGAAATTAAAATTATTTTGTTGTATTAGTTTTTGATTATCTAATAATTTCATTTTTTTCAATAATTTAAATGCTTTAATTGACGATCCGCGAATGAAGCAGAGGATTCGGCGGTGCAACAATGGTAAAAAATCGTCAGTTGACAATGTTTAAAAAATAATAAGGCATGATGTTTTGATATCACAAACTTTATTCTTTTTATTTATGTATAAATTAAGTCGCATAGATTATTGTATCAAAATATTAAAGGGCTTGGAATGTTTTTTGCAAACGTTTATATGTAGGAAGCTGAGATTTCAAGAAGTTCATAACATATAAAAATTTAATTTTCAGCCAACACTATCAAGTATTCTGACCAGAGCTATACATTTTTTTTATCGGTTTATCAACAAAAAAACAAAAAAACTTTTATTTACCAAATGAACCACATGTTGTTATAAGTCAATAAAATAACTGCAAAGAATTTTAAAATAGTATTCAACGATCTTGAAAGTGAAAATCAAATTCGTGTCAATTTGAAATTTACAAATTAAATTTTGGGGTGTGTTTGAATACAAAATTCTGATTGGCTAATTTGAATTTCACGCGCGTGAATTTCAAATTGACGCAGATTCCAAATTCACGCACAACATATAATGTATGAGGATAGTGAGATTTGATCATTTCTCTGATTCATTCACGAATTAGCAATTAAAAGCTATCTCAAAGGCAATTACAGCATTTTTCATGTGGGTCTGCTGTGATGAGACTAGTAGTCATATAAAAAGATCCATTAATGTTATGGAGCAAATTTATTAATAAAATCTGTTATGACAATAATATTTAATTAATAAAAAAAGGGGCCAATACTTAAATCCATTGGAACAAGAAATTTGTTGTAGCAAGGTCCACTGTGACTATACATGGAACCCAAATTGGTTTGGTGGTTTCAATGGTCAAAATTATTCCAATTTTGAAGAAATTAATTACAGCACTTACAGTGAACCCTCCATAAGTGCACCCTCTATAAATACATCCCTCCATAAATGCACACTATGTCTCATTCCCAACCTTGGGAATTAGAGATAAATGCACACCCTCCATATTCTGCACCGCCCATCCCGTTCATATAAAACCACCCTCTCTAAATACACGCTCGTGACTTTTATGTGATTTATTTGCTAAATAAATTCGTGTTACAATATTAATTCAAATGTTATTTATATCTATTTATCATTTTTGTTACCTCTTTTTTAATACTAGTAATGGAAAATAAAGGATGAAGTAAGCTATTATTGCTTATAAAGGATTAAATGAATGTTTGCTAATTCTTTCTTTTTAATTGACAAAGAGTTATTAGAATAATAATGATGAATACACAAATGGAGAAATTATATATATGCGAGATTAAAAATTAAGGATTAAACAAAGGATAAAAGATCACAATTTTTTTAAAAAATTTATGTTTAATAAAAGTAACCAAAATAAAATAAGAAAATTCTAAGAACAATTAAGACAAGTTAATGCCCTTGTGCAATTTATTAATTTAAAAAAAAAAAATCAATGAAGCAAACCACAATGGAACAATTTTTAGTCAACAATAATATTAATATGTAATAATAATAGTAATTAATAATAATTTTTATTAGTATCACGTGCAACCAATAAAATTCTTCTCCTCTATAAATGCATCCCTCCATAAATGCACGCTCTCGTCCATTCCCAAGGGGGTGCACTTATGGAAGGTTCACTGTACCATTAAAAAATAAGTGTAACATCCCTTTATGACATGTGTGACCACTTTATGACAGTGTCAAAATACTTTGGGCTGCATGTATAGCTGTGACAAGGCTTGACTGTAATAATAAAAAAATTAATATTAAATGATGGTTAACTGGTTAATCATTTAATTGCAGTTAATGGTGCCAACCCCTAAGCCAGCTAAGAAATTTATCAGCTTATGCAACTTAGATGGCTTACACTAAAAAAAAATTTCTCTTAACAATAATTTTTGCATATGAAATTTTAGTGCATAATTCAGTGGCATATACATTTAGTTGAGATGGATCTTGCATTACTTAGAATGACAAAAAAATCATATGCTTGCTCATAAAACAAAATACAATCCATCATAGCAGGATAAAATCATAGATTTTCTATTTGTAATAAATACAATTCTTAATTTAATTTGAATTATTGTTATTTTTTTTACTCAAACTATTCATTCTATTTGAACTATTCGTTTTTCATTCTATTTGAATTATTCAGTTTTTGTCCTATTCAAATTATTCATCCTATTTGAATCATCCATCCTATTTGAATTATTCGTTTTATTCAAACCATTAAAGGCAAAATATTATAATAACAATAATAAATATAGAGATGCGATCCGTGGATATCCGTCATCCGTTCATCCGTCATTTATTGTTATTAGTCGTGTGACATTTCCCTGAGGCTGCTTTTCTATATGTGAAAATAAATTTGAAATTCGTGTCACATGAAGTTTTTTTAAAATATCTTGTTATTTTTATAATAAACTCGAACTTTGTTGTTAGACTAAAATGAAAGCACTCCATTAAAGCTTTCTAATGAATACTCTTTCATATCGAAAGGTCTTTTCTACATGAATTCACGGCTATTCAAAAACGGTATTACTTTTTCACTTCAAACCTCAGATTATTTCTCAATATTGCTTTAAAAGACTTGATAGTAAATGAGAAGGTGTAGAATACTTTAAGCTTTCATATATGGTCATTGCTTTATGGGGGATATTGGTTAATAAGTTTTAGAGAGGTTCACGAAAAACTATTTTATAGAAATTTTTAATAGTCATTTTATGTAGATGGGAAAAAAATAATGTAATTGCTTGATAAAATGTCAAAATTAAATTATTTTTTGTGTTAATAAATCCTGTATGTATACCATTGCATTGTGCAATGTCTACTATGCATTATGCAACATTGATTTTCAATGCCG